AAAGGCATCAAAATAGGAAAAGAAGAACTTAAATTATCACTATTTGCAGATGACATGATTCTATACCTAGCAGACCCAAAAGGGTCTACAAAGAAATTATTAGAGCTAATAAATGAATTCAGCAAAGTGGCAGGATATAAAATCAACACGCATAAATCAAAGGCATTCCTGTATATCAGCGACAAATCCTCTGAAATGGAAATGAGGACAACCACTCCATTCACAATATCTTCAAAAAAAATAAAATACTTGGGAATCAACCTAACAAAAGAGGTGAAAGACTTATACAATGAAAACTACAGAACCCTAAAGAGAGAAATAGAAGAAGATCTTAGAAGATGGAAAAATATACCCTGTTCATGGATAGGCAGAACTAACATCATCAAAATGGCATTACCAAAAGTTCTCTATAGGTTTAATGCAATGCCAATCAAATTCCCAACGGCATTTCTTGTAGAAATAGAGAAAGCAATCATGAAATTCATATGGAAAAATAAAAGACCCAGAATAGCAAAAACAATGCTAAGCAGGAAGTGTGAATCAGGCGGTATAGCGATACCAGACTTCAAACTATACTACAGAGCAATAGTAACAAAAACAGCATGGTACTGGTACCAAAACAGGCGGGTGGACCAATGGTACAGAATAGAGGACACAGAAACCAATCCACAAAACTACAACCACCTTATATTTGATAAAGGGGCTAAAACCATGCAATGGAGGAAGGATAGCATCTTCAACAATTGGTGCTGGGAAAACTGGAAATCCATATGCAACAAAATGAAACTGAATCCCTTTCTCTCGCCATGCACAAAAGTTAATTCAAAATGGATCAAGGAGCTTGATATCAAATCAGAGACACGCCGTCTGATAGAAGAAAAAGTTGGCTACGATCTACATACTGTGGGGTCGGGCTCCAAATTCCTCAATAGGACACCCATAGCACAAAAGTTAATAACTAGAATCAACAAATGGGACTTACTCAAACTAAAAAGGTTTTTCTCAGCAAAAGATACAATAAGAGAGGTAAATAGAGAGCCTACATCCTGGGAACAAATCTTTACTCCTCACACTTCAGATAGAGCCCTAATATCCAGAGTATACAAAGAACTCAAAAAATTAGACCATACGAGAACAAACAACCCAATCAACAAATGGGCCAAGGATCTGAACAGACACTTCTCAGAGGAGGACATACAGTCAATCAACAAGTACATGAAAAAATGCTCACCATCTCTAGCAGTCAGAGAAATGCAAATCAAAACCACCCTAAGATACCATCTCACTCCAGTTAGATTGGCAGCCATTATGAAGTCAAACAACAACAAGTGCTGGCGAGGATGTGGGGAAAAGGGTACACTTGTACATTGCTGGTGGGACTGCAAATTGGTGCAGCCAATTTGGAAAGCAGTATGGAGATTTCTTGGAAAGCTGGGAATGGAGCCACCATTTGACCCAGCTATTCCCCTTCTCGGTCTATTCCCTAAAGACCTAAAAAGAGCATGCTACAGGGACACTGCTACATCGATGTTCATAGCAGCACAATTCACAATAGGTAGACTGTGGAACCAACCTAGATGCCCTTCAATGGATGAATGGATTAAAAAAATGTGGCATTTATACACAATGGAGTATTACTCTGCATTAAAAAATGACAAAATCATAGAATTTACAGGGAAATGGATGGCATTAGAGCAGATTATGCTAAGTGAAGCTAGCCAATCCCTAAAAAACAAATGCCAAATGTCTTCTTTGATATAAGGAGAGTAACTAAGAACAGAGTAGGGTCGAAGAGCATGAGAAGAAGATTAACATTAAACAGGGATGAGAGGTGGGAGGGAAAGGGAGAGAGAAGGGAAAAGGCATGGAAATGGAAGGAGACCCTCAGAGTTATAGAAAAGTACATACAAGAGGAAGTGAGGGGAAGGGGAAAAATAATATAAGGGGGACAAACGAATGTCAGTAGAGGGGGCAGAGAGAGAAGAGGGGAGGGGAGGGGAGGGGAGGGGAGGGGGGATAGTAGAGGATAGGAAAGGCAGCAGAATACAACAGACACTAGTATGGCAATATGTAAATCAATGGATGTGTAACTGATGTGATTCTGCAATCTGTATATGGGGTAAAAATGGGAGCTCAAAACCCACTTGAATCAAATTGTGAAATATGATATATCAAGAACTATGTAATGTTTTGAACAGCCAACAATAAAAAATTAAAAAAAAAAAAAAGACATACAAACCCAAACCCTTCCTACAATGCAGAATGTGAACAATTGCTTCAAGGAGGTAGAAACAAATATTATAAGTAATCTCAAGAAGGAGAAAAACCAATAAAGCTCAGATCAGGAAAAGTTTCATGTAGGAACCAGAAAGTGCTGCACATGACTGTGCCTATGATATATGGAGTGTCTGTAAGATACAAATGGAAAAAACTGAGCCTCCTGCTTGCTGATCATTATTCTGGGCCTGGTCTTCTTTTGCATTTGAATCTACAGTCCTTAGGACATGAATCTTGGGCCTATCATATTCGACATTGGAAGTTACATCAAAGGACAAGGGAAAATGCGATGTGTATAGAAAAATAGCAATTTGCACATGAACTACAGTTTTGTAGTTGTTGGTGCGGAAGGAAAAGAGATTGGGAACTAGGTGAATCAAAAATTATTTTCAAATCGAAGTTCCAGTTGGGATTTTATAGACCTAGTTTCAGACATCAAGGAGGACTTAACTTGGGGGATTGATGCAATTAGCCTCCGCACTGTGAAAGACCTTCTCTGCCTAAGTGTTTGTAGGATGTCAACAAGGTAGGAATGAATGGCAACCAAATAGTTGGCTAATTTGTATAGTCAGTAATTTAAAATAGTTTCCTTAAATATAAAAAACAACCTGGCATTAAGTAGTTTTTCACTGTGATTGCGAAAAAAAAAAAAAAAAAGTACTGGCTTTCCTCATTTGTTGGTGTTTGATTCATGCTAAGATGAAATGTACTAGAGAGATGAGTCCAACCATCAACCAGACTCAGTGAGTTTCTTTGGTGCTCTCTTCACGAGGCAACCGGTGTGTTAAATATAGAGAGATATTCCTCAGTACCACAGAGATGTCTGCTGTTGACTTCCTTTAAATAATATTTTTACATTTTTTCCCATTGATATTGGGCTCTGATGTCATCTGAGAGCATCGAATCACATTCTAATTACTTCAAGAGGTATTTTTTCATTATATGAGTTTTACTCAAAATACCTTCAAAACTATGGTCTTCTATTCTGTTTCTTTGAGGCTCAGATTTCTCATATTACTAATAAAATGACAGATGATGCTTGTCCTATTCCTAATGATTATCATTCATCTGATCACATGTTTCATTGTGAAATCTCAGTTTCATGCCAGATACACTTTTGCAAGGGGGCTTGAGGTCTCAGACTTCAGTTCCCATGAAACTTCCTATACAAGTTCCTCTATAGGTGATGGAGTAAAATTACCTTTAACCACCTACAAGAAAGTAGTGAATAAACTTAAGAGGATAAAATGCTAATTTGAGAGTTAATTTATTACTCATTCTCCATAATATTATTTGCTTAGAGGAATTCCTGCATAGCAGTCTGTACAGGAATAAAAGACTTTCCTAAGGACATTCAGTGAGAAAGAAAAACAATGCTCCTCAGAATGCAGCACATTAGGAGCTGCTTCTCACACTTGACTTTGAGCAAAAGTGATTTGCACAAAACTGTCACATAATAAAGCGAATCACAACTGAACTGTAATTGAACCAAAGTATATGTAAATATAGAGAAGTTTTACCAATGCTCAGACCCCAAACAGTATACGCCTGGAATCCTACATTACTCTCTTCATCTTTCTGGTAGTTTTTCAATGAAATATTAACGTCACAGTGCAGAGGGCCCGTGAGACATCTCTAGGGCTAGATCCACCACTTTCTAAGCATCCCCACAGCCTATTCTCCTATCCACCCATGCTAGGATGACAAAGTTGGGACAGTCCTTATTCAGTGTCCCATTCTGTAGGAAGGAATTTCCTGCCTGAGTAAACAACATTTAAAGTCTGTGCTGCTCTCAATCTAAGCTTCTTCTTACTTACCCTCAGGAGACAGATTCATTATTAGGAAACACAGCTCTAATCATTACCAGGATAAAATGAAGTAATTGAGTTACATTGCATGGTCTCGTCTTACCCTTACCATTCCCAGCTTAGGCAATGACACAGTCTTTGGCCCAAACTGCCAGTTTAGGGATAAGGCATTTGCAAACTTTATTCCAAGTCAGTATTCTGTCTGCTTTTGAAACCTAAGACTCTACCGATGGCAATATGAATTATGGCTTTGGAAGAACTGGGTATACCAAATTAATGTTTTGGGCATTAGAGAATTCAGTAAAAACTACACATAGATTCTCACCACTATTTTTTAAATATATATATTTTTTAGGTGTCGATGGATATATTTATTTATTTATTTATATGTGGTGCTGAGAATCGAACCCAGTGCCTCACCCATGCCAGGCAAGCACTTTACCACTGGCTACAACCCCAGCCTGGATTCTCTCCATTATTTTTACCAGGTAAATTTAAAAATTTAAATTTCTTTGGGCTATAACAGAGAATTTATCTACTTTGAAATTATAGATTTCAACTATTGAATTAGCAAACAATGATTTTTTTTTCTTTTTACAAATATTAATGAATTTCCCTCTTTTGCTAGTGCTGGAAGTAATGATCTCCTCGGTAATTTTTAAATACTATAATCTCTTTATGTGAAGTAAAAAAAAATCACAAAATTATACTGTGGATATTTATATGTCTCCCCAGTAGACTGCTACTAAATTCTGGTAAATATGGTTTAAAATCATTCAGTTTGACAGGTATGGTTTTCCCATCAAGGACTTGAAAAGCACTGTGTTCCTCCTGAAGTGCCAAGAGCCCAGAGCACCTCAAGGCCAAGTGTCCCTCCCCACAACCTCTGAAAGCAATAAAAAATTGAGGTCCCACCTCTGTGACTGGTGAGTTCTCTGGAAGCAGAAGGCAGGGGTGTGTAGTGGTGCATCTCAGGAGAGGCAGAGGCAGCAAGGTCCCCACTGGAAGCCTGCATGATAAAAATAAATGTCAATATGAAGCAACATCCAATGCAAAATCCCCTTGTTAACCAAACATGTTCCTTGGGATCTGAATTTATCCACAGAGACTCTTCTTAGGAAGCAAGAGTGGTCTTTGTTGACATAAAATTCTGTAAGTATAGGGTAGGGTACAAAGCTTGGAGGGCCTCAGCACTGTGAAATGACACCATGACAAGAGGCTGGTTTCTTTGTTGGGATGAACTTAAAGGAGGAAGAGGAGGAAAAGGAGAGGCTAAAAGCAGGAAATAGTATAGACTTAGATCTTTTTATCACAGGTCTTCTCCCAGTAATTCCCACAAAGCAAGTGCAGTCGGTGAGCAGATTTCTATGGAAACCAGTGCAGAGGCTAAGTTTGCCCCCAGGGTGGACGAGGAAAAGCAGGGCTGGTATACATGGCCCCGTGGCATGAGGCAGAGGAAGTGGAAGATATAAAACTCTGCAGCATGAAATCACCATAGGGAAGGACATAAATTGTTACAGGCTGTGCAACTTGGCTTCTGGCTAAGTTTAATGACAGCACTGAGAAATCCATCTGAGACCTGGGTTTGGGATATAGGTTCAGCATAACCTATCCAAAATGCTTTGGACTAGAATATTTTGGATTTCTGATTTTTTAAAATATTTTTGAATATTTGTATATATACAATGAGATATGTTGGCAATGAGATCCAAGTCGGAATACAAAATTCATTTATGTTTCCTATATACCCTATGCACACATTGAAGATAATTTTATACAACATTTTAAATATGCCTACATTTTGACTGCAACTTATCACCGGAGGTCAGGTGTGGAATTTTCCACTTGTGATGTCATGTCAGTACTAAAAAAAAGGTCTGGATTTGGGAATGTGTTTGATTTTGAATTTGGGGGTTAGGGATGTTCAACTTATATAATAGTTATCAACAAAATATTGTTATTCTAAAGCCTAAAAGAAAATGACCTGAAGTGCATCTTGGATGATGCTTTGTATTGTATATAATAGCTCCTTGACCATAGAACTGATATAGTATGGTCCTGACTATTAACTCTCTCCCTTCTGAACTCCACATCCTTGTGGGTTAAAGTATGAAGACAGTTAGCTGTTGGGTTGGCTGTCATACACTTCAGATGACCAGTGTGTCATCTTCAGAATATAGCTGCCTATAACAACCAACAACCATTGCAACTCTTAACTGAGATTTCTAAATCAAATGCAACTTTTTTTTCTTAATATCCAAAAAAGAACATCTGCTAGGATCAAAATCCTAAGCTTACAACCTTTCCAAGCTCCATGAAAAAGTAAATTTCATTAATGCTCTATTTTTCTTTCCGGAATAGGAAATGCATTCTACGGGATATATTTGCCCTGCTAGAAGCAGGTCTTTTCTCCAAAGAGATTACCTACATTATGGGAATCAAAACTAAGTAGGAGATTATACCTACTTGCTAGAAAAATCCTTTAAACTTCATTTCTGACATTTGAGATGTTTGATTAAGCAGCTTTCGGTAGAGACTTATAGAAAGAGTTCTGAATGGAGTGAAACCAGAAGCTATGTCCCTGGGTAGGAACAGCTTTAGGCAACATTTCTTCACACCAGCTCAAAGACAAATATAAGGCAAATATATGGTGTTTAAAGCTTGATCCAAGGGTGTTGGATCCAGAAAGGCAAAAGCTCAGTTACCAACAATAATGTTTTAAAAAGTGCATAAGATTTGTTATATACTACATCACTAGACATTTAGGGTGTTGCAAGAATGTGAAAGGGTCAGAAGTGGGATTAAAATTAAAGTTAAAATACTATAATCACCACTTGTCTCTTTGGGATTCCAGATCTTCTGTAATTGCAACATGATTAATGAAATATAATGACAGTGCTCTAAATACTACGGTACTTATTTAATGCTTAGGGCAGGATATACGGGGTCCTGGAATGGAGACCATCCTTACCTAGATATACATACTTCCTCTATAACAGGCTCTAACTTTTTGTCCATGTTCTACCTCATTATTGAAAGGAAAAAAAAATCCTAAAATCCAAAATAAGTTTTAAGTTGCTCTATTATGGTATTCTTTAGTACTTTTAATCTCTATGTGGGCTGTTGACAACTTGATGACAGCTTTTCCCAAAATTAGTGGAGGAAATCCTACCTCTAAATAAATACCTTGGACTGTGCAAAACATTAGAATTCTGTGACCAAGAGAAAAAAAAAGAGCTATTTAGTTTTATTTCCAACTGTCAACAGGTCAGAAATGGTGTGGCTTGGGTTGTGTGGTCATCATTCTATGCCCAGCACTTAATTCTTCTTCGGCTTAGTGTCCATTTATAAGCTCAAGTCATGGAAAAGAATTCAGGAAAAGAATAATTCTGCAAGCGATGCTTTCTGGTGGAACTTTCATGACTCAATGTTTAGAAAAACAACTACAAATCAGTTCCAACCACCAACTCTGTGACCTGGCTTTTATCAAAACGAATCCTATTCACTCATTTCAATAGTGATGTTCACACTGGTTTTCTGAATCTTATGCTTAGAAGCACGATTCAAAAAGGCAAAATTATCATATGAAAGAAGTGGACAAGAACGCGTCTTAAATTTGCACACTGTCTGCCAAAGCATAAAGAGTTGACTTTGCAACCGAAGCAGTATACCCACAGTATATTGAGTTTGAGATAATAAAAGCATAAGTAGAAAAATGGACATGATGTTTTATTTTACCTGGACTAAGAAGAGATGCCTAAAATGAGAATAAGAAAATTGGGGCAGCTCTGAATCTTCAGGACTATAAAGGTTCTCAAATCTTTGAATCCTTGCCAATTTTCCTAACTGCCTATTGGCAGGGATTTGTATTTTTACATTTTACTTTTATCTCCTGTTAGAAGATATTTGCCACATTTACAATAAAATACTAGTATCCAGGATACATAAAGAATGTCCCTAAGCCAATAAAAATAGGAAAAAAAAATGGACAAAGGAAATGTCAGGGATTTCAAAGAAGAGAAAACCTGAACAGATAATAAACATAGAATTTGCTCAAATTTGCCAGCACTAAAGGCAATGAGAATTAAAACAGGGTACAGTTTTTCCACTGATCCTATTGGCCAAGTTTTAAGTCCCATAACAACAAGTGCTAGTGAGAATGAAAGAAAATTAAACTGTCCCTCTCATCCCTTGCCAGTAGGAATGTACCCTGGTTCACTACTTTGGAGGGTAGTTTAGCTGCATCTAATAAAACTGAAAATTGGTGCACTGATTCCACTTGGAGAATTTCACACAGGTCTGCAAGTTTACTATGTTTACTGAAGCATCATTGGTAACAGGGAAAAAAAAAGTGGAAATAACTTAAATGTCAGTAAGGAAAAAGGATAGATAAAATGTTGTATATTCATATGGCAGAATAATATTTACCATTTAAGAGCAATAACTTGATATATCTATATTGAAATATATCATCTCATTTTGAAGAGGTCTAAAATTTATAAAGAGTAAAAATGCAAAATTTATAAAGAGTAAAAAAAGCATCAGTCGGGAGCCTACACCCTGGGAACAAATCTTTACTCCTCACACTTCAGATAGAGCCCTAATATCCAGAGTATACAAAGAACTCAAAAAATTAGACAATAAGAAAACAAACAACCCAATCAACAAATGGGCCAAGGACCTGAACAGACACTTCTCAGAGGAGGACATACAGTCTATCAACAAGTACATGAAAAAATGCTCACCATCTCTAGCTGTCAGAGAAATGCAAATCAAAACCACCCTAAGATACCATCTCACTCCAGTAAGATTGGCAACCATTATGAAGTCAAACAACAACAAGTGCTGGCGAGGATGTGGGGAAAAGGGTACACTTGTACATTGCTGGTGGGACTGCAAATTGGTGCAGCCAATTTGGAAAGCAGTATGGAGATTTCTTGGAAAGCTGGGAATGGAGCCACCATTTGACCCAGCTATTCCCCTTCTTGGTCTATTCCCTAAAGACCTAAAAAGAGCATGCTACAGGGACACTGCTACATCGATGTTCATAGCAGCACAATTCACAATAGCAAGACTGTGGAACCAACCTAGATGCCCTTCAATAGACGAATGGATAAAAAAAAAATGTGGCATTTATACACAATGGAGTATTACTCTGCATTAAAAAATGACAAAATCATAGAATTTGCAGGGAAATGGATGGCATTAGAGCAGATTATGCTAAGTGAGGCTAGCCAATCCCTAAAAAACAAATGCCAAATGTCTTCTTTGATATAAGGAGAGTAACTAAGAACAGAGTAGGGACGAAGAGCAGGAGAAGAAGATTAACATTAAATAGGGATGAGAGGTGGGAGGGAAAAGGAGAGAGAAGGGAAATTGCATGGAAATGGAAGAGACCCTCAGGGTTATACAAAAGTACATACAAGAGGAAGTGAGGGGAAAGGGAAAAATAATACAAGGGGGAGAAATGAATGACAGTAGAGGGGGTAGAGAGAGAAGAGGGGAGGGGAGGGGAGGGAAGCGAGGGGAGGGGGGATAGTAGAGGATAGGAAAGGCAGCAGAACACAACAGACACTAGGATGGCAATATGTAAATCAATGGATGTGTAACTGATGTAATTCTGCAATCTGTATATGGGGTAAAAATGGGAGTTCATAACCCACTTGAATCAAAGTGTGAAATATGATATATCAAGAAATTTGTAATGTTTTGAACAACCAACAATAAAAAATTTAAAAAAAGCATCAGTCGTTATTTATCAAGTACATCTTACATAATTTTAAGTTTCCAAATGATAAATTCAGTATAATATTATTTATGTAAATATGAAGTTCTTTGATTTTGTACATGTATGGAAACATCCAAAAATTATAAAACAGACACTAAATTCATGTAAATGATTGGGCAGGGTAACAGGACTGGGGCTAATGGGATGTGGAGGAGTTTCATTTCTATATATGATGGTTTCTGGTTTTATTCATTTAAAGAATATTCTTGAAACAATGACAT